ATGATTTATTGTTGAGCCTTCTGCTCTGGGCCAAGGCAGTGCCCAGGTACTAGGAGAGGCCCCTGGCACTCACGGGTTTCTCATCTGCGCACTTTCCTTCCTTCAGAGGTGAGAGCTGCCCGGGCAGACCAACGCTGAGAGAGTGGTGCTCCTCACTTTCCTCTTTTCCCCAGGTCTGGTCTCTGATCCAGCTGGCGCGCAGATACCTGCAGAAGGGCTACACCACGCTGCTGTTCCAGGAGGGCGATTTCTACTGCTCCTACTTCCTGTGGTTCGAGAATGACATGGTAGGTGAGGCGAGTCTCTGGGCCAGGACAGTCCGCACACATTTCCCACTCTGTCACTCTTGGATTCATTTCTTCTGAATTGTTGTCTGTCTGTCTCATCTTCTCTTCTTGTTGCTGGTAAGCCCAGCAGGTTGGGACCCAGAGCTCAGAGGTCACAATTTCACATGGGCATTTAACTGCTTTGTGAGCCCTCTGCCCAGCTGTCTGGCAAACTCTTGCCATTGTCCACGTGGCATCCAGGCACACATGTGAGCAGATAGGCACACGCCCCACTGTGGGAAACGCGACTCAGATCATACACTTTGTCGCTGGTGCTTCCATGTCGCCAGCATCACATGCCAAGCATGGCACACGGTCATCCCTGTGGCATAGGCCCCTGAACTCAAGAGCATAGGCCCTGCTTGAAGCAGTGAGCCAGGCCACCCAAGGAGACACTGGTGGTGTGGCTCGGGGCCCTGGCCTCCTGGCCCTACACTGCTTCCTCTGGGCCTCACCGTTACTGCAGAGTAGGCTCCGGTGAGGGGAGCTTACTGTCTGTGGCCACCTGCCCCTCTCCTCCTGTCTCTCCCTCCTCTCTGTCTCTTCCCTTTCTTTGCTTTCCTCTTGTTTCTCTTTTATTTCCATCTCGTTTGTCACCAGGAATGGTGGTTCCAGCTCTCAGGAGCGTTCCTCCTCCCTCGCAGCCCTTGGTCTCTGGGTCCCTGAACTACTGTGCCTTCCCCTGCACCCACCCTGCACTCTCTTTGTTCACTGAGGGTGACAGCCATCCCTTTCCATAGGGCAGGGCGGTTACTGGGGCCCTCCGCCACTGTTCTCTCAGTCATCCCTCACAGCCTTGTGCGGTGGCTGGGGCAGGGATCCCTGACCCCATTGTATGGATGGAGACACGACGATCTAGAGATCAGACGCCATGGCCAGGGCCACCACCGAGGTTGTTAAGTGCGGAAGCCGGAGCCCAAGCTCTCCTCCCCCAGCCTGCAGGCTCCCTGCTTTCCTCTGTGCCCCTGGAAGTGCCCAGGACTTGTGTACAACAGAAGTGCTAGAAAATTCCTGTGACCTTTACCTTCACTTCTAGGGAGGGACAGGAGTCTGTGTGCTTGGGTGGCCCCGTGGGGTGATACAGTGAGGCAGAGCTGTGAGCTGGAGAGGCCAGGTTTGAATGTCAGCCACACAGCCCAGCTGGTGCCACGGGGGCAGCCCTGCACGCTGCGGAGTCCACTCCCCCTGCATGGCAGGCCACGGTGCCCACACAAGCATCAGCTAATCGCCATGTTCGTGCCTGGCACACAGGGCACGTCCAGCAGATCTTAATTCCCTTCCCACCTTATCCCACCCTGGCAATTCCCAGTTCTTTCAAAGCAGAGGCTTAGGCCTTTTGTGAATGCTCTGCTCTTCAAGACCCTGAATGACAGCCCTGCAGGTTGCCCTCCTGAGCGTGTGTGTGTGGCCTGTGCAGGTCCAGGTATTGATGGGAATGAGAGCTACCCTGCCAGCCCTTGGAACTTTGTATACTTTGTCTCTAATGTTCATAAGGCGACTGTTGTTATTCTGACTTCAAAGATGAAAAACCAAGGTCCAGGCATTTTCCCAAGCACCCAGCGCACAAGGCAGAGCCAAGCCAGGCTGCGAGCCCGGTGCGTCTGACTCGGGCCCGTGTGCTCCCCCGACACCCACTGCCTCCCTGTCCTCCCTCCTCAGGGGTACAAACTCCAGATGATCGAGGTGCCCGTCCTCTCCGACGACTCGGTGCCTATTGGCATGCTGGGAGGAGACTACTACAGGTGACGGCGCGTCGGGAGCCGCTGGGGACGGACGCTCCTGTGTGGGTGATAAGTACTTGCCTCTGCCGGGAGCGGCTTCTGCTTCAGCAGTGCCCTACCCTGGACCCAGAAATCCACACTGGGAACACCTTCCCAGCTGGGCCTGTGTGCAGTGAGGGAGGATGGGTGTGGAGGGCACGTCTGTGTTCCTACCACCTTCCTGCTGGCATGGTCTCGGCAGCACGGGAAACGTCTGCGCCCGGCCCAGAACATCCCCACTGCTGCCTCGTAGCCAGGATGGCACTGTTAGGTCAGTGAGGAACAGGAGCAGGTGTCAAGGCCCACGTGCAGGGGCCTAGTGAGATGACCGAGGACATGGGCATTTGCTCGCGAGGGCCCCGAGAGGCCTCTGGCACTGGAGGAGGGCAACAGCCTCGCTCCTGAATCCCATCCTCCCTTTCCTCCCCAGGAAGCTCCTGCGCTACTACAGCAAGAACCGCCCGGCCGAGGCTGTCAGGTGCTACGAGCTGCTGGCCCTGCACCTGTCTGTCATCCCCACTGACCTGCTGGTGCAGCAGGCCGGCCAGCTGGCCCGGCGCCTCTGGGAGGCCTCCCGTATCCCCCTGCTCTAGGCCAAGGTGGCTGCAGTCTGCCTTTGCACCCCGTCCTCCAGCTGCTCTTGCTTGCCACTGTTCCCCATGGCAAGAGCCTGCTGTCTGCAGTGGCCGTCCTGAGGATGGGGCAGAGTGCCCAGGGTGGCCCCAGGGTTTCTAAAACCCCACCTAGACCACCCTCCATGTGGGGTATGTGCAAGGCCCCAGATCCTTCTCTCTGGAGGAAGAGGGAAGCCCAGGGGTCCAGTTTGTCTTCGTGAAACAAAAGTGGCAGCAGCTCCTCTGCCAGAGCTGCCTCTGCCTTATCCTGGGAGATGGGGAGGGAGCCCACCCGGCAAGCTCTCTCCTACCCCAGGTAAAAGGTGCTCCTTTGCCTGGGTCTGAATTCCAGCCCTGCCACTTCCTCTCTGCATCTCCCGGAAAGTTTCTTCTATTCCTCACATTTAAAGCGATCGCACCTCCCTCCCAGGGTGGTGTGAGGATTACCCAATGCGGTAGGTGCTCAATAAATGTTGGTCGTTGTTATCACTGAAGCTCAACACGCTTGTGCTTCTAGACCCTTCTGTCGTGCCGATAAGCCCTTGCTAAGTCCCAGCCCCTTCACGCTCGGCTGGCGTCTGCCCTGGGGCTGGGGTTCTCAAGCCCCTGGCCCTGGCCCAGAGATATGGATTCGCTTGGCGGCCGTGGAGCCCAGGCTTTGATGTCTTTCAAAGCTTCCGTGGTGCGCCCTGGATTGAGAACCACCACCCAAGGGGTACAGCCCCTCTCTTCCAACCGAGAAGTTCCTGTCCCAGAATGGACCCAAGGACAAGAGATCCTGAGAGCCCTGGGACTGGGAGCATCTGCTCCTCTGAGACCAGGAGGCTGGTGCTGGGCCAGAGAGGGCGGCGTGGCAGAAATCAGCGTCTACCGCAGCACAGGAACAGATGGCCCTGTGCTGTGCATGGGGGAGCCGCGCCTTCTGTGTCTTCAGTCTTGGGCCAAAATTCACGCAGACTGGTCTCTCCCTTGCAGGGGACAGCTTTGGGGAGGCGTTGGGGGAGCTCGAACCCACACGTTGGTCTAAACCCAGAGAAGGAGGCAGTGAGGAAGTGTCCCCTCAGGTGACTGGATCTGTGTTCCTCCTTATCATCATCTGATGGAATGGCAATGAAAAGCATGGATTGTGGAAAATACAGAAAAGCATAAAGGAAAAAACTCCAATCCTCTGAACCCACCAGTGTTCAGGACACCTGCTTTTGTCGCCTACTATTTCCCTTTAGTTTTTCGCAGTGGCTGAATGTGATATGTCTAGTTTAACCAGTCCCCTTGATCTTTCTATATAATAAATAACACAGGGGTGGACATCCTGAATCAGATCTTAGCAGAGATGCTCACATGCGGGGTAACTGTCCATGGTGTGTGGAGGGGTCCTCGGAACCCCCTCTTAGGATCATCTCCACATACTGTCCCAGTTCTGAGATTCATTACCAACAGCAGGTTTCCTTCACACTGCCGTGTCAGAGCAGCGCAGGAACTCTCTGCTCCGCTGCGAGGGGCCTTCTCCTCCTAGGGAACACTCTGCTGAGCAATGGGCAGAGAACAAAGGGGCTCCTCATTCAAGGCAGGCCTAAGGGAGGGTCAGAAAGAACTTTAGCTGGAGGTATCTACCAATGTGACCTCCAATCCTTGGGGATTCTGGGAAAATGGGCAAAGTGCCAAAAGAAGAGAATTGGCCGGGCCTTCAAAAGAAGAAAACCCAGAGAATTACAGACAGTGAACTTGCCCCTAAGCCCTCGTTGAGGGGTGTGTTTGAGCATTTAGGAGAGGACTCCAGTGCTCCTCAGCGACAAACACAGCTGCCTTTGCGGTGTCTGAAGGCCCTGGTCGTGGTGACACTAGATGGCTGCCCTGGGTGCCTCCTGTGGGTGTAGAGGCATCACCACTCTGCACTGGCAGACTCAGCATGGAGTCGGAGCAGAGTCTGACACGAGCACTTGCCATCCCAGGCATTTCAGTTCTGACTGAGAAGGGAGCCGCACAGGGGAGGAGAGGGCCCTTTGGAGCTCCGCTCTGCCTCCACCACTCCCTAACCCCGCAGCCTCAGTGCCCTCATCTGTAAAATGGGGAGTTTTGCCTACAGAGTTCAGCACAGTGCCAGCCTGACATGGGAACCCCAGTGGATTATCAGTTTTGTCATTATTCCCCTGCATCCTGGAGGTGACACCGCCTGGTTAATAGGCAACCCCTGCCGATTGCCCAGCACAGCCGCACAGCAGCAGGAGGCTGGCCTGTGGCCAAGAATGCACGGTGGAGGAGGGCTAGAGGGGGACTGCAGCTCCTCCTCTTCCTGCTTCCTCCCTGCTCCACCCCCTGCCTAGGGCAGCACAAAAGCAAATCTCTAGCTAACTCCCTGCCTAGCAAGGCCCAGCCTGGGGCAGAAATGGCTGCAAGTGGCCGAGGTCTCTGCAGGGCTGTGGCTGCCTCTCCCTTCCCAGCTTGGAGACGAGCTCACACAGAAGCCAGGGGAGGTCTGAAGCCTGAGTATGATGCGGTGGTGATAGGAGCAGGTAAAGTGGTAAAGCAGGCTGGGCCAGAGCTGAGGGGCGGGAAGGCAGCCCTGCTCAGAGCTTGGTAGGGAGGGGGAGGCCTTGCCAAGCCCCACTGCTCTCTCCTCGGGCATAACCCGCCAGAAGTTTATACACTAGCAGGGGCTGCAACGGAAAGCCCTTCCATCTGGCAGGCAGGCACCTGGGATTCTGGGGCTGGCTCTGCTGTGTGGCCTGGGGCAAATGCTTGCCTTCTCTGGGCTTGGATCTTCCATGGAGAATGACAAGAAGACTAGGTGAGCTCAGGGGTTTCCCTCTATCTCCTGCAAAATGACCTAGTTTCCACCACATTCTCAGCCTGTGGTTTTAAGGGTTGGAAAGAGCTCTGGGCCAACAGACAAGTGAAATCCAGCACCCTCCCCCCACCTCCCCCACACTGCCGTGAGTTCTGGTCACCACTGCCTTACCACTGAGGCCACCCATCCTCACAAGAAACTGCAGTCATTTCATAAAGGCCAGTTAGGATAAAACAGAACTGAGTTCCGGAGTTCCTACTGCGTGTCTGCAGAGGGCAGTGGCCCCCATTGCCTTGCAGCTCTGGGCCATTTGTGAATCTGCAGTGATCCTGCCATACTTTGCCAACCCCTGGGCTCAAGAGTATCAAAGTCTACTGGGTGCTAGGGGAAGAAGCAGGCCCAGGACCAGGTGGTTCTTCCTTAGTGCCTTCCATTCACACTTGCAGAGGGCCCCAAATGCATGATTGCCAGCTAGGGCTTACAGAGATAATGACAGGGACCGAAAGCAGACGGCACTCATTATGCAGCTTTGAAGGCATGTCTTCATTTTCCTATGTACTAGAGCAGTTGCGAGCTGGTAGATACTCAACAGTCACCTCTCCAGGGAAAAATGTGTGATTGTGTGTGTGTGTGTGTATATGTATACACACACATACATATATACACACACACGTATATACACACACGTATGCATATATGTATACATATATGTGTATACATACATATATAGACACACACATGCTTATTTTAAATATTGAAATAAAAGATACACTGCACACAATTTTACAAATAAAAATACAATACTCTCAATTTAAATGCAGTCTAGGCAAGTGATTCTTACCAAAGGCTTTCTTTGATTTTTGCC